AAATAGATATTTTTATCTGAAGTAAATACATGCAGAACGAACAGTTAAACGAATTTACTCCAGCAGAGCATATTCATCAGATTCGCTCATATTTCGATATCATAGACAATGCAGTTCAAATTGGTGACACTAATAGAAAATATTCTGACGCAAAGATTCCATCACAACCTGGAACTGCTAAAGATAACACATGGGTAACATTCAATCTCTCACCTCCTGGTGAAAATATGTTGGACCTTTACAATACATTCATTACGTATAAAATGGAAGGTCAATTTATTGCAGATAAAGAAATTGGTTCAGGTTCCAATAAAACAACCCACCAGGATTTTGGATTGGTTTCGATGACGCTTTCTATGCAGTTGCTGGATATCAAATCCTTGCAAATGGTCGTATCGTATATTCTCAAGACAACGCAAGAGAAGAAGCATATATAACTTCAAACTCACAAACTACCGAACAAATAAAGAAAGTAGATGTTTTTTCAAAGACTCGACATGAAGATGTATGGAGTCATTCGGGAACATGCAGAACAGGACAAATTGTTAGTGGTCCAATTACAGCAGGAAAATCATTTGATTTTAAGCTTCGTTTAAGAATTCCTGTTAGAAGATTCCTTCCATTAGAAGCTATTCGATTTATTCCAGCTTTTGCAGGAAACATTCAGCTTAAAGTAAAGTTCAGTAGCGACGCCTTACAATGCACATCTATATCTGTAAATGATATCATTGCTTTCAATCCAACTCTTAAAGTTGCATTTGCTTCAGATTCAAATCCACCGACAAATAAATTTGTTCCATGGAATGAACCATTCACTATGATAACGAAGGCAGTAGAAGCTAGTGGAACAGTTACTATTACAACTGTAACCCAGCAACTATTTCGAACAAAGATGGATTTTAATGAATGTTTCATTCATCCAAAGTCATTCTCTTTAGACCCTAACATTTATACAGAACTTGTAGAACATTATACAAACGAGGCTTTATGTTTTCCTGTTAAAGTTATGGATTGGATTCCTATGGACGGTTCATTCTCAAAGAATACAGATAGTTCAAGTGCAACATTTACAGCAGCTTATACGCCTATTAATGTTAAAAGTATTTGGGCACTATTTAGAAAGAAAGACAACTATTATGTTAATTTTGAGAACCCTAAGTTTAAATATCTTCAGCTTTCCATGGGAGCTTATGGAAATATGCCTGCAGAACCTGAAAAATCATATGGACCTGTATTTTATGAAATGGTTGCGAACGCTTGCAATACAAACAATGATATGATAGGATTTAATGAAGATGTTATGAGGTCATTGGTGGATGATGGTAGTGTGGAACATAAATGGGATAGCTATGACAACACACATTTCTTATGTGGTTTTCCAACAGAAGTGGACTTTTGCTTCCAGCAAGGTCAAACATCTACTGCTCCAATAACATACAAATTGTCTGTTAAAGGACCTATTGAACTAGCAACTGAAAACGTACCAAAGCCACTTATTGGATTTATGAGGATTGTTGCTTTGCAATACAAGTAAGACAGTCAGGCATACCAATAATAAGACTTGACGACTATAACTTAGCAACTGACGACAGTGAGGAATAAAGGATGAACGTTTATTTTTAAAGCTTATAAATGAGTTCTTCATCAAGCTCTCGTGAACCTTCACCATCTATGAAACAAACTTTACCAAACGATTATGGAGCACCTATTGAATATTTCTTACGAGCTGCACAATGGCAAAGAGCAGTTTCACAAGGTTAGGTGTTCCACCAGCTCCTGTCAAAAATAGCATTTGGTCAAGTCCTTATATAAAATATGGTCTCCCACTAGGTTTGCTAGCTACAGCAGGAGCAGTAATGATGTTGAAAAGAAATAAAGCAAATGTTATAAATAATACTGAAGTAGCTGAATTTGAACAAACTCCGACACCATCGCCAAAACCAACGTCAAAACCAACGCCTTCACAAACAACACCTTCAATGACTCCTGAACCTATGAAAGTACAAACTCCTGTTCAAAAGTCAACTCCAAAAACCGACTCCAACATTTAAACCAGAACCTACTCCTCAAATAAATCGTAAAACTCCTGCGTTTCCTTACTGAAAAAATAATGTTAGTTTTATTTTATTTGAACATTTTATTTAGAGTAAAATGACGACTAAAGTCACTGAAGCAATGAAACAAAAATTTTTGGTAGAATACATTAAATCAGGAGCGGTTCCAGAAGGTTTTTACGTTCATACTATGAAGGATGGTAGAGTTCAGTTTAGAAAGATAAAGCAACCATTAGATAGAGAAGGTATATTAAGGAAGATTAAACTTCATGAGGACAACATTGCTGAACTTAAGAAGAAGTTAGAAGAGTTGGAGAAAGGAAGAGAGTTATAAAGTAATGAATTCATGAGGTGAAAAAAGAGGTGAAAAAAGAGGTGAGATTTCACCACTTCACCTAAATTTAAATGGATGTTTTCATACGTGTGAGGGTGGTGATATCATTTATTTTAAGTTTATTTTTATATAAATTATTTTTATTTTATTTTTATGTAAATGACAGAACAAAAGCAACTCATTCGAATTCCACAGTATAACAAACATACATTTAAACATTTATTCTTCCTTCCTGAGCATAACATGTTCTTTCAAATACATCCGAGACCAGTTGACTTTTCATTGACTGTGTATAAAGATAGAAATAGTTATATCATTAAACCATACGATGACGAAGGTAAGTTATGTAAATTGTACGTTAAGAAGTTAGAGAAAGTTTATGGCTTCAAGTATGACTACAATAGGGTTAACACTGATGATGAAGATATTGAGGAAAATTTATGAGAACATTAGTGAAGTTGTTAGTGAGAACGATAGTGAGAACGTTTATTTTTACATTAGTGAGTTCGTTAGTGAAGTGGTTGGCGGCTTTGTAAATATTTAATGTTAAGTTAGTGTTGTCGTTTGTGTTGTAAAATATATGTTATCGGTTTCGTAAATATTTAAGGTTAAGTTAGTGTTGTCGTTTGTGTTGCAAAATTTACGTTAACAGTTTTGTAAATATTTAAGGTTAAGTTAGTGTTGTCGTTTGTGTTGCAAAATTTACGTTAACAGTTTTGTAAATATTTAAGGTTAAGTTAGTGTTGTCGTTTGTGTTGCAAAATTTACGTTAACAGTTTTGTAAATATTTAAGGTTAAGTTGTGTTGTCGTTTGTGTTGCAAAATTTACGTTAACAGTTTTGTAAATATTTAAGGTTAAGTTAGTGTTGTCGTTTGTGTTGCAAAATTTACGTTAACAGTTTTGTAAATATTTAAGGTTAAGTTAGTGTTGTCGTTTGTGTTGCAAAATTTACGTTAACAGTTTTGTAAAGTGTCAAATTCACAAGTATTGCGTACGGAGAAACGCAGTGCCACAGTACACGACTTAGCCATACTAACTAACGGCGGTGAAAACCGCGGTGAATTCGGCCAGGTTATGCAGGAAAACGGAATAGTTTTGAAGCACACCTTGCCGTATATGCCAAGACAGAACGGCAAGGTGGAGCGCCTGTGGCCAAGCTTAGAAAAGTTTTTGCCAGACGAGTTGGATGATATTCAATAAATCAAGGACTCGGTTCAGCAGTTCATTGAAAAATACACCAATACACCACATTTATCTCTCGATATTAATCCAAAAACGAATAGTAATTACACTCCTAACGAATTATTCGAAGTTTCAAAATTTTGGTACGAGCCAGAAATGCAAAAATGGGAGTTATATATCAAAGACGAATGGGTCTTAGCAAAATTTGAATAATTACATCATTTTAAATGACTACTAAACAATTTTATTTATGATCAAATTTTATATATTTTTTTGGATCAAATCCATTTTAATAGAATTTATATACTATTCATTTATTAGTAAACACTACCGTATATTATTTTTTAAGCTATCTTATTTTTTGAAGTTTTATTCAAATCTTTGGTCGCAAGAAGAATTGCATGATAAATAAAAACATTTAATCAAAGTCAATTTTATTTTTCATATTCAAATGGACTGAGTGTTAACATTTAACGTTTTTTGCTAATTGTCGTCAAAAATTAGGCGTAAAGCAAAAATTGATATTTCATATGGTTTTATGATAGATAAGCATTATATTCCCACTCATTATATTCGTAAATTTTGAGGTTTATCCTTCGCTTTTAAGATCATTGAATTTGATTTTTATATAAAATAGTTATATATTAGAAAATAATATGAGTTTATGTGATATTATTTTTCAGAAGATTTTGTGTTCTTCTTCAAAATTTTATTTTTTTATTAAAAAGAATCTTTACAAAATATACATTTACTTTAATTAATATTTAAAAACGTGCTCTATCAAAAGTTCCAAAAATTCAATATTTTAGCTTTTCTGAGGTGTCACTTTTGATGAATTTCTGTTTACAACAAAAAATAGATGAGGAATGAACTAATTGATTAAAATTGAAACGAAAGTCATGTTCCAAATTCAAGTTGTTGAATTGGCAATTGAAAATATTTTTTCACCGCAAGTAGAAAAAGTTATTTAGAATAACAAAAGGAAATAAAATTATTTAAAAATCATTAAGTCAAAATTGAGATGCTTCGTTATTTGATACAAATATAGAAAAATTGAGAATTGAGCATTTGAATTGGAATTTAGAAGTATTTAGTAAAAATTATTAACAGGGAAAAAATTGTGAAAAATGTAAATAAATGGCCAAATGTTTGAGATACAATCTGAAAAATTAAAAATACATTTGATAAATGTAGAAGCCTGTGTAGCTCAACCGGATAGAGCATAAGACTCTTAATCTTGGGGTTGCGGGTTCGAGTCCCGCCACTGGCTCTTTTTCTGCTTGGTTTCTTTGTTTTTTGGGATTTTGCTGAGATCAATGTGGAGTATTCTGGAAACACCAAATGACTCAAACCATAAAACAGTTGAACAATTTAACCCCAAAAATAATTTATTCAAATTTAGAATTTTTGAATTATTAATTACAAACATTTACAATTTGTATATCTGTGTATCATTAGCATCAACTGTCTGACCATCAGTTAACAAGATCTCGTAATTTCCATTATTTTCTCCTAAAATTGTTCCAAATAATGATTCGTCCTTGTAAAAACATATTCCTGTTCTATATATATTCAATGATTTCGCACTAACATACTTCTTTAAACAATATTCCGTGTCAGAAACTAAAATTTCTTCTTTTTCAAATGAACCAAAGACCATAAGTATTGTATCCTTCTTGTAAATTGTCTGTCCATCCAATGATGTGCAGTCTTCAGTGGTTTTTGCTAATGCTTCCGGATAAATATCAACAACAAAACCAATGTCTTGGATAGGAAAGAATTTTTTCAACAGATGTTTGATATAAATTTTACGAAATGTTGGAAGAGCAAAATCTCTGATCGCAATTTCGTTGTTTTTACAAAATTCACGAAAATCTGTATCAAAACCATCATCTGATGTGTTTACAGTACGTATATCGCTAAGATTTTGACCTACTTTATGTATCCTGGCGTTTAATTCTTTGAACATCTTTCCAACATCTCTTTTATATAAATGAAACAAATCTTTCTCTTGATGACAGAAAGATTCGACGTATTGTTTATCTTTTAATTCCATTGCTTCCATTTTGTATCGATATTCGTTGAATTTTTGCATAGAAGTCTGATATATCGATAATTCTAATTTCAGTTTGTTTTTTCCACTTTCTTCATTGATTCTAAAGTTTGATATATCTTCACTTATTTTAAACAGATTTCCAGAATTGTTCATAGCTGTTCTGAAGATGTTATCTAGTGGATTTAAGTTATTTCTTATTGAATCAATCTGTTTTTCGATTTCGTCGTATTTGGATGTAAATGTTGATACCTGAAAATTCCTATTAATGCGTTGATTATCAAAGAAGGTTGTAATTGGTTGAAAAATTTGAATAAAAAGGAGTAAATTGTTATGGAAATATGAAGTATTGGAAATAATAGTTTGATATCTTTCTTTTAGATAAGGTTCTGCATCAACGACAATTGATGTTACATATTTTTCCAGACAAGCAATAGATCTTTCATCTTCGAGCGATTGTATTATTGATTGGAAGCATGATTTGAGATATTTTATCTCATGTATCAAATAATCATTATCATTTCCGTTTTCAAATTGTCCATTCATAAAAATAAATAATGGAAAAAAATAATAGTCACTTTTTGATTTTTCAATGATATGAAAATAAATCTCCAAACGAATAATTTGAAATATTTCTTCTTTTTTATTTTTTTAAAAGTGACATTTATGATTGAAAAGAATTAATGCATTTATTCAATTTTATGACTAAACGAGAGAATTTTAACCGTATTTCGAATTTTTAATTATTATTCCGTATTTTTCAGAATTTTGAAAGATTATTTAATAATATCTCGGAAAGAATATTAAATATTTTTTCATTGTTTTCATTGACTTGATTAATTAATTCTCAGGCATAAGGTTGGTGCAAATAAATACATCAAGGTATTTGCCAGTATTTAATAATACGGAATTATACATCCTCCTAGTGATAAATGATTGTTTTGCGAAATGTTTTTATTAGACCAATTAATGAATGTTTTCCTATTCAGATATGTGTTCTAATTATTTTTCAATATTAGTTTTATCCTTTCGTCATAGTTCCTTCAATTGTTTTGAAATCCACTTTTGTGGACGTGCAATACATATGATAATGAATCCATACAACTAAACATTGGTTTGAAAAACTATTTCTTCAGAAATACAAACACCTTCAAAAGTTGGGAGTGAAATTCCTTTTGAGCAATAATCAATAGTTTACAAATTATATTATTCAAGTAATAGTGTTGCATGCTAAGTTCGGTCAACGATAGGAATTGAGGGGAAATTAATCGTCGAGGAAGTACGATTATGTAAAGTAAAAAAATGTTGTGGGATTTTTAATATTGTATATAATTTTATAATAAAATTTTTGTGAAACATTTTAAGAAGCACATATAATTTTTTGAATTTAAAAATTAAAGTAGTGTTGAATGAATTTATTGATTAATTTAATACGGATATTTCTCAAAATTAATCAAAAATAGGTTTTCAGAGAACTTTTGAGATATCTTTTCAAAATGTCTTTTTGAAAATATATAAGTATTATATCAAATTGAAAAAAGGTATTTATCAAAATTCTAAATTCTTAATAAAAAATAACTTTTCAGAGGATTGTGATTTTGAAAGCATGAGTAATAAGTAAAAAATATCTACGATTTTAATGAGGAATTGTTCCTTATGAGGTATACATTATAACTATATACCTCATAAGGAACAATTCCCTCTTGATAGCTGGGAAACTTTCTCTGAATAACTTATCATTTGGAGAAAGTTTCCCAGCTATCTATTAGAAACTAAAGGCTGTGAGGCACTAATATATAATCAGTGCCTCATAGCCTTTAGTTTCTTATTAAAAACGAGAAAACTTGTTCGAAATGATAAACAATTTCGAACAAGTTTTCTCGTTTTAAGGAGGGAATTGTTCCTTATGAGGTATACAGTATGAATATATACCTCATAAGGAACAATTCTTTCTTTAAATAGGAGAAACTTTGTCCGAATGTTAAACTATTCGGACAAAGTTTCTCCCATTTGTAGTGGAGATGGAAGGCTTTGAGGTATATTATATTAATATGTACCCCAAAGCCTTCCATCTCCACTTGAAAGTTCCAAAACTTTGGGTTAATTGCAAGACATTAACCCAAAGTTTTGGAACTTTCTAGAAGGAATTGCAGGGTAAGAGGTATATATTCATACTATGTACCTCTTACCCTGCAATTCCTTCTTAAAATGGGAGAAACTTTGTCCGAATGTTAAACTATTCGGACAAAGTTTCTCCCATTTGTAGTGGAGATGGAAGGCTTTGAGGTATATTATATTAATATGTACCCCAAAGCCTTCCATCTTTATTGTACAATTTAAAAATTCAGGAAAAATGTAATAAGATTTTTATAAAAATTAAGGGTGCACCCGTATGTACGTTTATTTGAGAGGAGGAGGATTACCCTCTCAATTTTGAGGGATTCGTTAGTTTATTTTCTCGATGAATATGCAATAAAATTTGATTTTTACCTTATCAATATACTTCATATAATATACACATGTTCATGTAAAAACTTTTTCCCAAAATCCTCAGGAATTATTGGATTTTTGAATTTTAAGAATTTTTTTCGAATTTTTTTGAAAAAAAAATATTTTCAGAACAGCCTTAACGGCTAAGATTTAGGAACAATGTTAAGTATCAAAAAGAAAGGAGGTCTGATATAGACAACATATATCGTTGAAGGTTGAAAAAATCTCTAATATTTGAGCCCAAAATTTCAAATTTTAATTTTTTGAAAAAAGAGGCCACCCGTATGTACGTTTATTTGAGAGGAGGAGAATTATATTTTTGAAAGGGTGAAACATTATGAATATGTTAATTATATAATAATATGTATTATTATAAAAAAGAAAAAATAAAGCACGTTAAAATTTTTCTTTCTTGATTTTTTACAAAATCTACTTAGAATTATGCAAAATATGACTAAATAATTATAAATTTCAAGTTAAATTTTAATTTTGATAAATAATTTAAGGGTCCACTGTAAGGCCAAATAAGGCCTATCGTCGTCCCAAAAATATTGCTCAAGATGGTGTTTTTACTAAGGCCCAAAACTTAAAAAAACACAAAAAAATTAACTTTACTCTTTTGAGATCCTTATCAGATGTGCAACAATTTGATGCAGTATTGCAATTCGAATCCGATTTTTTAATGTAGATGTACTCTAACATTCTTGAAAAAATGCAAAATGATATTAATTAAGCTTTTCATTTCTGTATCATACACGAAACAAAATCATTCATTATACTAAACTTTATCAAAGTTTGAATAATGAAAAAAATAATATCTAAATTTTTACATTGAGTCGTCTATTGATATGGTCAATATTAAATCGTTTAAAACTGGGCATTAGCCAGAATAATACCCACTAAAATACACATTTTTTAAAATTTTATCAATTTGTTTTGGTATATCTTTATGATAATGAATAAAATGCTTATCTTTCATAAGTCAATACATAATTTATGCTGAAACACAAAAAATAACACGAAAATTTTTGAGTAGTAGGATAGGATGGGGTGTGTGACTTTTTTTGTTACGTCTATATATAGATGAAGGTATATTTTAATGTAGAGATGTGAAAACTTAAATTTTATAATCCCTGGGATGCACTTTCTTCGATTTTTTTAAAATTTTTGGGATAAATTTTGACATCTTTTTTTTTGCTGGCGACCCCCCACCCGTTCACAAAAAAAAATATCGAGCGAAGGGGGGTCGCCAGCAAAAATCGAAAATTTTTTTTGGTGAACGGGGGGTCGCCAGCGAGAACCTTAAAAATAAACTTCAGAAAAAAAATCTAAAAAGAAAAAAACGAAAAGGCCCTGGGTCGAACTGGGGAACTTAAGGCTTATACTATGACTCTTACCACTGAACTATATTATCTGTGGATCGGTGCTTTATAAATTGTAAATATAAAGATTATCATAACGAATTAAAATATAAAATAATAAATATTACTCTTATATATTATTAGATTTTAAATTACAAAATAATAATAACAAAAAAAATATTCATGACCGGAGGTTTTAATTAATGTTTAATGAAAGAGAACGATTCATTATAAATTATTGAATGTTAAATTGTTGTAAAAACACATTGAAATATTTGTGAAGAAAATGGCTATTTAATATTGAAAAATAAATAATAACAAAATGTTTATTTCATTTAGTTGCCATTAAGATATGACGGCTATTTAACAAGTTTTTCTTGGATCTTAACCGCCTAACGTTCAAAATTAACCTTTGTGCTTTGATATTACGTTCACATGTTGCCTCCGAAGGAGATGAACATAACAAGCGTAATGCTATTTCCGCAAGGATGGATTTTTCTCCAATTCTATGCGAGATCTCTTCCCAAGCATAATTTTGTGCCTCGTCCATCAGATCGTTCTCAAAGATGTCTGATTCCTTATTGATGAACGTATTATATAACGAGAGTACAAGCGTTTTTTGTCTTTCGTTCAATCGGAATTGAACCAAAATGCGCTTGAGGTAATCTTTAGCTGCTGTTAGATCATTTTCGGCAGTCTGATGATTATCCTCGCGTACATCTTGCAATGTAAGCCTAAGTTGATCATCAGATTCGACAATTCTACGAAATGTGCCTTCATCTGTTACATCAATTACAGCGTTTGTGTTACCTTCCTCAAAAATAGAATCCATGTAAATGTCCTGTAAATCTTCTGCCGGATCTTTATCAGGAATATGCTCACTTTGAAAGGAACTCAAGGGATCGGCCAAATCTTCTACTTCTTCGTTTTTAACAAACTTTCTATGGAAGTAGAACCTTCCTCTCGGCGTGAGAGAGAATGCCAAACACCATAGCCCACCAAAGTCAGAGTCCAAGGTATAGCTATCCAATGAAGATGCCAAGATGGATCCGAATGCATTATGCAAATTGGATGTCAAAAGATTGAGAGCTGATATGGCTTTACGAAGCCAAATGTAACAATTTGCCAACAATGCCTTATCCGATTCGAATACTAAGATTAGCTTTTTAAGAACAGCTAAACAATCTTTCAATTGTACGATTTTATCGTGATCTACATTTATATATTGCTTGATTTTGTTTTCGTACTTAAGAATAAAGACACATATATTATAGTCATATATCCATCTGGTGGATACATGCTGTGGACATTGTGCACCTATATCGTCAGCATGAATGCGACAAAGTTCTGCAATTCTGTGCACATCCTTTACTAAACTTTGTAACTGGTTGTTCTTGCCAGCAATATATTGATAGCTGTTGTGGATTCTGTGACACAAACAGGGAATAAGCAATATCTTGTAGTATTTTGGATCTCTGTCATGATAGAATGAATCATTCCAAGTATCTTTGAAGCATTTTAACTGTGCTGGTCCTCCGTCAACTACCACACTACCTATCTTGACTTTCCTAATGTCAATTCTGTTAAATCCTGCTGTTATTGCGGATTTATAATCCTGACTTGTCTGGCCATCCTTCATATCTATCGCCTCTACTGGGTATGGCTTCATTTGCTCCAACGGATTTGTTAAGACAAAATCAAGATTGTGGTAATCATGTGTCTTGCCTTCATCGATGGCGACACAAGTGTATGCTTTTTTGGCGAATTCGAGAACTTTAGCAAGGTGTATGCTGTTAGCAATAGCAATCATTCTATTTCGGATCTCATCACGTGTAATAGGCTTATATAATTTGTCAGCAAGTTTTTCCGGATTGATATTAGCTGACTGAAGTTGTTTGTATTTGTTCATCATTTGATATATTGTGAACATAATGAAAATCTTTGCAACATGCGTGAATTCTGGGGATGCAAATGTGTCTAAGGCAAGGTTGAACTTACCGGTAAAAATGGTCATTTCATCGTATACATTCGATAAATCCAACATTGGATCATTTGGCTGTTTACCTTTATTGTAGTAGTCAAGTAATGTTTGCTGCGATAATGCTTCTCCGGCCTGACATGTGTGAACATGAGTCTTAAGCCAGTTTTTATAATGATCCTCCCTTTGTTCTTGCATTGAACACCGGCAAACTACGCCATCAGATCGTGTCACAAGTTCATTGCATTTTACATACCACTTGGGACTACCTTCATGTTTATATCGCATGTAAACATGTTGTTTCGTTTCAAGATCGGGATATGTTGTGAACCCGACTTCTTTCATTAATGAAGTGATTTCTTAAGTTGAATAAAAACAAATTTGATTGAAATTCATACAAATTTTTTTTATCATTATTATTTAAGATGCTTTTTTATGTTGAATTGTTAATTTTTTTATTTCCACCTGGGATATTTTGAATTGGGCTAGCCCAATCCCACCTCTCAATTTTCTCTCAATTGGGCAATGGGGATCCCATATAAAATGTATTGTAACAAAATTTTACATGCATAATATAGTACAATTAAACAACATTCTAAAAATATTAAATTCACATCATTTACTTGAAGATTTTATATTTTCAACAAAAATTAATACAATAATTACATTAAATTGAGGAGATTTATAATAATTATTATAAATTAAAATATTATTACTCATTAATTTGTTGAAATATTGCATTTTAGTGGTAAAAATTAAAATTTAAGTTTACATGGAGAAAAAAAATTTTAAATTCCAAAAAAAATTCAATTGGGATAACGATAGGGACAAAAATTTAGAATCCCCATATGCTTGGGATAAAATCACATGAATATTTTAATGCATCTTCTATATATAGATGATATAAAAATTTTTTCTTACGTTTTTTAAAAGTCATGAATTTGTAAGAAAGTGCGACATTATTAAATAAATTAGTAATAAATATTATATACTAAACACATTATTAAAAAATTAACATTAATTTTAAAATAATTTATTTTTTTATCTTTTATAAAAGAAGCTATATATAGATGATGTCAGATATTCCGCGATTAATTAAACATTGTTTAAATCATGAATGGATTAAACTTCAATTTAAAAATGAAGATTGTGAATTATTAAATGAATATGAAAGCCAAAATAAGCTAATGAGGTATAAATATAATGATAAAGAATATTTAATTTCATGGAATCAATGGAGTCATAATCAAAGACCTCATAAACGAGAAGAAGAAATTGAAAATAATGAAATGGAAATCATTGATGACATTAAAGAGGATGGAATTCCTAAATTTTGTAGAAAAACCTTTAGAACTAAGTTAGGAGCATATAAACGTAGAGTATTAAATCCTGAATATCTTAAACATCAATTTAAAAAGGAAGACTGTGAATTATTAAACGCTAATGAATATGAAAATGCTAAATCAAAACTGAGATATAAATATATTGGAAGTGATGAAAGATGCAAAGATAAAGATAAAGTTTATTCAGTTTCATATAATAACTGGCACACGTTAGGGATAAGAAAACATTTAGGAGATTATGGTAAAAGTTCTGAATTCTTTAAATCTAGTATGTACGAGAGAGTAAAAGAAATCAGATATAATTATTTTCATGAATGAAAGATTCACTACCATAATAAAAAAATAAAAAAATAAACTTTTAAAATTTATGTCTTACATTTTTGAATAATTTATTTTTATTTTGTATGAAATGAGCGTCAAAACTAACGACGTTAAAAAATTGGGATTCACAAATGAGGAAATAAAGGATATATTAGAGGAGGCGGGTTATGAAGTTAGTAAATATTATTTAAGAAATTGTAAAAAATTCGCGGAGTTCTTAAATGAATTTGATTATGATGGAAAAATGAATAAAGATGATGTTATAAATTTCTTATATCCTACATCTGAAGAAGAAAAACCTAAAGAACCTGATGTTTTCCCTGAATATTATGAAGAACGGATTAAAGATGATGAATACGATGAAATTGAAATTGAAAGACTGGAAAAAATAAGAGATGAAATAAATGAAAAAATTAAGAAATTAAGAGAAGTTGAAAAATATAATGAAAATGAAGTAGAGGGTTTAATGAATATCCCAGCTTCAGAATCAGCAGTTCAGAAATCTCATGAAGAAAGATATAAAAATTATGTCTCAGAATCAACACAAAATTTATTAGATGGCGAAATAGATGAAACACTTTCAGAAGAAGGTACTAAATTTATTCGTAAACATAAGTTACAATTTATTGATAATGAAAAATACCCTTGTATCTTACTTTCACCCCCTCTCGATTCTGAGAAATTCAAAAAAGCTCTTAAAAATGTGACATATGCAACTAATACGATTAAGAAAGAAGATCATGATATTTACACAAATTATTATTTAAATAAATGCACAGGTGTTGATAAAGTTTTTGATTTATTAGATAAAATATCAAAAGAAACCATTGGAACCTATAAAATTTTGTGTGATTGTGGTTTCATTATTGAAGATACCAATAATGTTTCATATGAAAGAACAGCACCGAAGGAAGATGAAGTGGAAAGGTCTATACCATTCGTTATTAAGAACATAAAAGATATGAAAACGTATAAGCATTATATTTATTCATTTATTTCAGAAAAAATGGAAGCAACCCATAAAACATCTTCTCATCATTTTTATATGTTTTTTATAGCTATTCATACATTCCTTTTCAAAGTTGTGAAATTAAATAAGACAGGAATTAGATTTAATGTATCAGGGTACGCATTCTTGAGTAAATTAAAATGTATTCGTCACGTCGCAGATGATAAAAATTTATGTGTTCTTAATTCATTTTATGGGCTTTAAAAAATAAACTTTATTTTTTAATTTTTATTCTTACATAAATGAACAAAAACGGAACAGCTAAAATGAATGATAATCAAATTAGAGCAGAAGGTAGAAGGTTATTTAAACGCTTCTATAACATTCCTGATGGTGTTAATCCTAAAACTCGTAGAAGTTATTTAAATGAAGCAATAGATTCATATGAAGGGTTTGACATTTCATCAGAAAGTGAGAGATTAGCGAGAATGTTAAATGTTAATATTGATTTCTATTATTGTGATCCTCAACCAGAAGACGTGGACATAAATAAGGTAGACTTTCCATTAGTGGAATCAATAATGATAGATCCAGAATTTGAAACAGTAAATATTTTATTAACACAGAGTCCATGTGGAAAACTTCACGCTGACAGAATAACAGACGTTGAAGCACTCACCGGCTATAAAGTTTGTCCATATTGTAAAGAAGAAGTTTATTCTATCCGTGATGATCCAGAAAGGAAAAACCAAAGAAGATTTTTAAAGCATTGTGAGAAATGTAAAGAAAATAATGGAAGATTAATTCAAGACGTTCAGTTGCAAAAGACACAGCAACCATATGCACCACATATTACGAAACAGAAGATATATCAGTGGTTATTAGCTCATAATTTGCAGGAATATTATCAACCGACAAGATATTATATTACTTTTGACTTCGAAACATTAGAGACTAAAGAAGAATTACAACTTTCTGAGTGTGCAACTTTGAACGCTTACTTAAAACCATTCATGGTATCATCAACGGTTAAATTAAATGATAAAACATATACGAGGAATTTTTGCTTAACTTCGAGTGATTCTTTTATTTCTGATTGGATTGAGTTTTTATTTTCAACCTGTTCATTAGTTGCTAAATCAAATATTGAACAATATGAAGAATTAATGAAGTCGCAAACATTAAATGAAAAACAAAAGGAAGCATTTAAAGAACTTCTAGATGAGGAATTCAATAAAGTGAATATCATAGGTTTTAATTCGGGAAAGTTTGATTTAAATTTAATTCTTCGTGATTTAAACACTGCAAAATGGAAAATAAAATCAATGCTGGGTTCATCTTCACAATTTAAGCAAATCATTGTAAAGAAAACAAACGTTCCATATGAATTGAGATTTATTGACATCAGAAATTATATAGCGGGTGGGACATTAGACCAATTCACTCAAGATTTCGGAAACAATAAATCACGTGTTAAATCCTTTTTCCCTTATCAATTCATCACATGGGAAAATTACGAAGAAGAATTATATAAAGTGGAACCATTCACTCAAGATTCATTTTATTCAGCATTAACCCAAGAAACTATATCAGATAGTGATTATCAAATATATCTCAATGATGCTAAAAATTTTAAGAATAGATTAGAATATTTTATTCATTATTGCAATAAAGATGTTGAAATTATGATTGACCCAATTGATAAAATTATTGAAGAAACATTTGTTTATAAAATTGACATGCTTCATAATCTTTCTTTATCATCGAGTGCTTCAATGATTCGTTACGCTTTAGCATATAAAGACTTTAATCCTAATGAAAAATATCCTGAGGAAGAGATAGAATCAAGTTTTGAATTAACGAAAAAGTATTGGAAATATAAAATTGAATCATATAAGAAACAAGATGAAAAAGCAGAAAGGGATACTAAAAATAATGTTTCAATGGATGATTTTCAATACTATCACGATTTAATCCTTTCATCTAAATGCAAAATGTGTGGTAAAGCGTTTACATATGCAAATAAACCAACATTGGATAGAATCGATAATGAAAAACCACATACTAAAGAAAATTGTCAGTTAATGTGTTGTTATTGCAATGTCGTAAAATCAAATAAAGATGAAGATGTTCAACGTTTAAGAATCAATTTAAGAAATTATGCATTAAAAAATAATTTACCAATGACTTTAGATTCAGTTGAAGCTTATCACATTCTCCGTAATGGAATTACTGGTGGTTTATCAAATGTTCAACATAGAGTAAATCTTAAAGGAATCACGCACATTAATAAACTTTCATATAGTCCAGAAACTAAAACTGTATCAAATGAGGACACTTCCAACATTATGACTCATTTCGTTGGTGTTGATTTTAATTCATTATATCCTTCATCATTTTCATCTAATCCTCATGATTTCATTCAATATACTGACCATAAAATGTATATGCCGGGAAGATTGAATGGTGTTATCATTTGTGATACAGCAACAAAGAAAGCAAAAGCACTGGGAATAATTAAGAAGAAAAATACTTTATTCGTGGCTGAAGTAAAGGGTCACATTGATGAAAAATACATTAATGATTACATAAACTTTTTACCGATAATAAGAAACTTAGATATTATCACAGATGAAAAAACAATTGGCAGTTTTATGTATAATTACATGAAATCAAACAATCTACCAGTTGACCAGAAACAGAGAAAATTAACTCAATTAGCATCAACACACAACCAATATCAACCATTTTCTTCTTATTATCTTTGGTATCTAATCGACAGATTTCATTTTATCATCGATGACATTCAATCAATTTTAACATTTACGAAAAACACTTGTTTTAATGAATTTGCGAACAAATTTATGAACGAAAGACAAAAGGCTGAATTAGAAGGAAATAAAGGAAAAAGTTTATTTTGCAAGATTTCACTTAATGGATCATATGGTTACGATGCAATGAATACACAAAATTACGCAAAGACTAAAATAATGAATGCACAGAAGGCACGCGTTGCATGTATGTCAAATAAGTTTAAAAACATAAGAGAAATAGGTGAAGATACATATCAAGTGATGCTTAAAGATAGATTTTATAGATGTGATACATGTTTACAAGAGGCATTCTTCACTTTAGATAATGCTAAATACTGGTATTTGGTTTTCATTTATGATTTTATGTATAAATGCATGGATGTTAATCGTTTTCATTTCATTGAAGGTGATACTGATTCATCTTATTGGGCAATCGCTGGCGACCCAAATCTTCCTAACACTCAAGCATTTCAAGCAATTGTTACCGATAAACAATTTTATGATAAAAACATTTTCAAATTCGCACCATTTGATTTCTTCTGTTTTGATGAGAAATTTAAACCTAAATTAAAGAATAAAGCTGAAGAAAAAGCACATGAGAAAAAATTATTGGGTTTAGCAATTGAGAAACAAGGTGATAACATGGTTGCTTTATGTCCTAAATGTTATACATCATTCAACGGTTCAATTGATGGAAGTGATTTTAAAAAGATTGCACAAAAAATGAAGGGTGTTAGTTTACGACAAAATAAACAATTAACACCTAAAAAATATTTGGATATAATAAATGATAAAGTGATATTTGATGGTCAGAATATTAATTTACAACTTAAAAATGGGTCAATGACTCGCTTAACAATCGGTAAGACTGCATTAACAGGAGCACACACTAAGGCTGTATGCTGTGAAAATGGATGTTGTATGCCATTTATTTAATACAATTTAAAATTTTATTTTTAATGAAATGCCACAGAAGAGACAAAAGGAACCGTTAATGATGGTTTTGATACTATGATTCAAAGAGGTGGGCACCCTTAAACATTTATTTTATTTTTATATAAATGGATAACACAGATTTAAAAATTTTAATTGATGATTTAGTACTTTATCAAAATTTTCTTAGTTATTATGAATTAAAATCATATCTCCAAAAACATAATAAAAATATAACGGGTGATGATATGGAATATTATTATCCATATTATAAAAATGAAATTTTGAAATATCATAATAAAATAATTTCTGAAATTAAAGACAAAATTAAAAATAATGAATATACAAAGGGAAAAACTAAATCACAACTTAAACAGTTGAAAGATTTCAAAAATAAAGTATTAACAGAAGAAGATATTGATGAATTATATAATTTATATAATCCTGAGCCGCAAAAACCAAAAGAACAAAAACAAAAGATGCAAAACACCCAGGTCCTTCAGACCATAAATGAAGCACAAGCTTTAATTTATGATTCATTAGTTAAACCATATTCAGCCCGACTTTTAAATGAAGATCAACTTTTGGAATTCATCCTTCAACATAAACTCGAAGCGGGAAAGTATATCAAACCTTTATATACAGCATATTTAAAACAAATGAATAGAATACATCCAGAATTAATGAAGGAAGGAATGAAATCCAAAATCAAAGCAGATAAAATTAAACCACTTGCAACACCAAAACCTCCAACGACAGTACCGCCTCCTCCTTCAGTTAATCCTTCATCATTCACTTTATTATATCCATTTCAAACATTAAAGAAGCAAAAAGATTTTAAAAAGGATTTCAAGATATTAAATAAACCAATTGACCCGAAAATTCAACCGTTAAAGGAAAAATTTAGTCGCCCTTCATTTGCTCCATATCCATATTCATACGAAATCGATCATCTGGAATATTCAAAAGGAAAAGTTACTTATTTATTTGCCATTAACATTAACACTAGATATTTATATTGCATTCCAGTGAAAGGGAAAACAGAACAGGAAACAAGAAGAGCTATACAATACTTACTAGATCATGAAAGAGTAGATAATATCAGGGGTGATGGTGATAAAGGATTTCAGGCAGCTATGGCTCATTATTTCCCACAAATTAATTTTTTCTTTTCATCCTCTCCATATACGTTTCATAATAAAATAGTTGATGCGGTAATGAGAACTCTTAGAGATGCGTTAGGGGTTAACGGTCAGATATACTGGAATGGAAATCATGACTCCATCATACAACAGTTAGTATATTATTACAATAATACATGGCATAGAACTATAAACATGAAACCAGTGGAAATGAAAAATGATATTTCAAAAGAATGGGAATATATTAGAAAGCAAATGGAAAGGTTGAATGATGTTAAACGTGAACAAATTAATTCGGGGCTCATGAATTTTAAACAAGGGGATAAAGTTTTGATTCATCTCGATTATGGAAAAACTGATAAATCAATGACAAAAAGAAGACGAAGATTTGACACAATAGCTGAATTTGTTAGATATATTAACGGTAATGTATTAGTTGAAGTTGACAATAAATTAATAGAAATTCCGATTTATTTTATTACTCCATTATATTTAAATAATATTTAATTTTTTTTATTTCGTAAGAAATGAGTGACAATGAAGCATCCAAGAGTCCTGATTCAATTAAGATTCAGAGTCCAGACGATGAATATAAAAAGAAACTAAACAGAATTAAATCAAAAATATGCTATTACAAAAAGAAGCCGCAATGCGGTGGGGTTGAAAACAATAAAACTAATGGAACTGAAAACGATAAAGAAATAATCGAAAAATTAGAAACTTACCGTTCAATCCTTAAACTGAGTGAAGCAAAAATAAAAGAATTTAATAGAATAAATAAATTGATTGGAAGAGATGAATTTAATAAAGATGAATTTTTAAACTCAATCCAAATTTAATTTTTATTTTTCTTTGACAACATCTCTCTTTCCATCATTACTGCATAACCGCATTTTCTCAATTTTAGTGGTTTGTTATTTTTAACATGTTCTTGCATCATTTTTATCATTTCCTCCCTTGTTATGATTCGTGGTAAATTTTGAGCTTGTGGGGTATCCATTTATGATAAAAATAAAAATTTGTCATAAACGACCAAAAATATATTTTATCGTTAATGGTTTCAGGTTATTCAATAATTAATTATTTTTGAAGAACTGAAGGTGTCACTATGTCACCATGTGTCACTCGGTTAATTAACTTCTCTGAAAAAGTGAGACAACATGACATTTAGACAACAACACAGGAGGAAGGCAGTTATGAATTATTTTTGAAGAACTGAAGGTGTCACTATGTCACCATGTCACCAGGTTATTTAACTTCTCTGAAAAAATGAGACAACATGACATTTAGACAACAACACAGGAAATAAATGTTTAGGGTAGATGGTTAGATCTAACCTCATTTCTAACCTCATTTCTACCCTCATGAATTTTATATATTAATGTTTTCGTTAAGCCACTTTGTGCCGTCAGTCAGTCAGTTTAGGAAAGACTTTAGAAAGTTGTTGGAAAATAAGTCCTGGGAAGAGTATTATAAGGCATTTTGTGAAGAATATAGCAACCGCCGGAATTCAGACGGTTGTTTTTTTATACAAAATTCATGCAGGAAATTCTTGAGTTTTGGTTGAAAGAATACGGTCGAGCCACTTTTGGCTCCACCTCAAAACAAGCATTTTATGAGCTTACTAAGGGCGTTATAAATGAATTCAAAGGTATTTACATACATCCTGACCTCGTTCATTTTGTTGCTGAATTCAGCAAAAATAATGTTTAGGGTAGATGGTTTCAGGTTATTCAATAATTAATTATTTTTGAAGAACTGAAGGTGTCACTATGTCACCATGTGTCACTCGGTTATTTAACTTCTCTGAAAAAGTGAGACAACATGACATTTAGACAACAACACAGGAGGAAGGCAAAAATAAATTCCAATCATACTTTATAAAGCTTCATTTACAGGTATTTCATCGTCAGTAAATGAATCCTCATTATCGTTTGGTTCAACCTGTTTATATAATCCTTTCATTTCTTCTTTCAAAACATAACACCATGTTTGTTTACCATCTATTCTTCTCTGTTTCTTATCACATTTATCCTTAATACTCATTTGAAAGTTTTTGTCTTTCATGTCTGATGGTTTGCAGAATAGAGCATTTTTACACGTCATACCTGCACACAATTCATCATAATGTGTATTTATCCATACATCTAAAGGATTTGTTGATAATTCAATTAAATCTTGTTTGGCTTCAGTCATCGGTATGATTCATACATTAAATGATGAAAGGTCATATTGCATAAAATATGTTAGTAAATTATCATAAAATTCCTTTGTGCATGAATTCATCAAATTCTTGAAGTAATCAAATTGACCCTTGAATTTACCATTAACTCTTAAAACTACGTATCTTCTGTCTCCAACTTCAATTTTGACAGGGTAGACGTTATTAGTTACGAAAATGAAGTTTGCAACGTTCTGAGCAGTTCTTCTGGGTTGATTCTTTTCATTAATTCTAATCTCATTATCCGTTATAATTGATTTCAAAGCGTTGAAGTTTGCGAGTCTATCTTCACCAACATTCTTGAGTTCATTAAGTACAAGAAACATTTTATTCTCAACTACTGAATTGAAATTACCCGTTAGCTCACCTATTTCAGTAATGTTTTTACATGAATAACCGGCGAGAAGTTCAGAAATAATGTCTGTAAATCTGTTTTTACCTGTTCCCTGAAGTCCTTTCAAAATAATTGCTGTTTCATTCTTGATTCCAGGATGTTGAATCATTGATGCAATCCAGCCGAGTAGGTATTTATACACTTCATCATTATTATCACAAATGGCTTCTTTAATGAAATTCATAAACATCTCAATTTTTGAGTAATCAGGCTTTTCGAGAACGTTGTATTTATAACCTTGAAACGTTGAGAAAACATCTGGAGAATCAGATTTAAAGCAAACACCCTTAACGGTTAATGAAGACAATTGATTTAGTAGTACATCCCATGCTGTTATTGTTTTACCTTCTTCTTTAAATAATTTAATCATTTTGAGTGACTCTTTCATGTTTGATTGAAGAACAAATGATATTTGATTCATTTTGTCGTGTATGTTGTAATCTTTCTGAATGAAGTATTTGTTTCCATAATCTACAAAACGGATTACACGTGATAAATCCTCAATTACTTCAGAACTGTTTTTATACTGATGATTTTCAGCCTTGCGTCTAATATCTGTTATCAAAAACGAGTCATCAAGTTTTATATCAAATGTTATTTTTGGTTTACATAATAAAGGTAAAACATATTCATCATAATATTCTTTTTGATAAAGTTTCAGAATCTTCACTAAAACAAATGGAGAAGTCATTAAATGTGCATATCTACTACGTGCTTTTTCAAAATTACTTTTTGCATTTTCTGTTAAATTGCAGAAGTTATAAACGTTATCGTATGCTTCATTAATTAAATGATTAGGTAACGAATTAATTGCTTGAAACAGTGTGAATAATGTTATTTCTTTTCCAAATTCATGTTTCCACCGTCATTATGTACTTCAAAATCACTGATGCCATCAACTATGCTCTGGGCAAGTTTATCGTCAATGTTTACATCTTTGTTTTCATTCATGATAGTCTTTATTTCTTCGTTCTTTTGTTCAACTCTTACCTTAATATTCAAATCATTTAATATATCATTCACTGTTCTGGTTAATGTTGAATCATAACTTCCGCGAATGAATGAGTATGTATTGATTGGTTCTGATGCATTCTTGCGAACTCTTGAATCAGCCATAACCACTAAAGAACGCTTTGAATCATCAATAGAAGTCATTATGTCAATATCATAATCATTGCAAGAATAACATTTAATCATTCTGTTCGAAACTGCATAGAAGAAATTAGTGTTGCAATAAATGTGAAGACCTCCTGAAGCGGTTTTAACGATAACATCTTTATCCGAAAGTTTTGATAAAATATCTTTTCTAACTGTTTCTTTAAGTTCATCATTGTATGATTTATTGATATCAACATCTATAATCGTTAAATTTGAAATTTTATTTACTAATAAAGCCATACCAGTTTTCCTTCCTCTTCCTCCATCATGTTTGAGGTAGTTATGTAAATCAATCTTGTTTTCACCAATTCTTTCGTTGAGGGTTTTAGTTTCTGCCACAACTAATTCCTCAGCTAATGAATCAATAACTTGTTCATCAGAAATGATAAAGTTACTGTTGTTGTTTGTTGCTGTCATTTATATAGGAATAAAAAAATAAAAATAATTTTAAAACTAACTTTATTTTTGAACTGCATCATATTTCCAGGACTGTTGTCTAAATGTCATGTTGTCTCACTTTTTCAGAGAAGTTAATTAACCGAGTGACACATGGTGACATAGTGACACCTTCAGTTCTTCAAAAATAATTAATTATTGAATAACCTGAAACCATTAACGTAAACATTTGTTTTTGTCTGATTTACACTCATTACGATGAAGTCATGACAAATCATTTACGATGAAGTCATGTCAAAATGTCATGAGGTTAGAAATGAGGTTAGAAATGAGGTTAGATCTAACCATCTACCCTAAAAATTATTTTACTCAGAATTTTGTATAAAAAAACAACCGCCGGAATTCAGATGGTTGCTATATTCTTCACAAAACATTAACGTAAACATTAACGTAAACATCATATTTCCAGGACTGTTGTCAAAATGTCATGTTGTCTCATTTTTTCAGAGAAGTTAAATAACCGAGTGACACATGGTGACGTAGTGACACCTTCAGTTCTTCAAAAATAATTCATAACTGCCTTCCTCCTGTGTTGTTGTCAAAATGTCATGTTGTCTCATTTTTTCAGAGAAGTTAATTAACCGAGTGACACATGGTGACGTAGTGACACCTTCAGTTCTTCAAAAATAATTAATTATTGAATAACCTGAAACCATGAGACTTTGTCTCCGGACTCTTTGAGTCACTTAACGTAAACATTTATTTCTGCAGTTCATCCATTACTTCATTACCTAATTAATTACAGACATAAAATATATTTAGTTCATTCGGTAAGCCTTGACCCAAAAGTCTGGGCTCAAGTGTGTTTATTGAACGCGGTACCATGCGAATACAGTCACAAATGGTGGCATGTAATCTTTACCCGAGCCTGTTGGATTTGTTGTGAAAGTGTGTGAATGATTTCCTGCGGTTCCACAGAAAATACCCGTGCTTGAATCTACTGGGTCAGTTGTGATATCATATCTATTCATTCCCCATCTATCCGAACCCGCTGCAAGATTTATATAACCTCTTTTTGTTATTGAATGTGAATGATTACCTGTTGTGTTTGTAGTTCCTGTATGAGTGTGCGGTGGAAGGTTTGCTTCTTTAATTTTCTTCGAACCTCCTGTTTGCTTTGAATATCTAGCACAGTATAAGAATTTATCTACAATCTGCTTCCACGTACCAAAACCTAAAACTGTTGATGGATTTGTTGAGTTCATTGACGTATAAATAGAACCAACAGGATATAATGTTTGAAGTATTTCAGTCTTTAATGTTTGAAGCTCTGTTTTGTCTGCTTTCTTATCATATAAATCTTGAGCAGTGAATTTAACTTTATTTTCATCATCCATGACATAAACATTTTTACATCTAATTTTTTTCATCGTTGTTATGTTTTCATTCGATGTTAAACCTTGTGGAAAGTTAGGAGGATTATAATATAATGCATCCCCATCAGTTCCGTCAACCGTTCCTTCAATACTTTCTATAGCAACAGTTGAGAAGAAGTTATGTGTATGGTTCTTATCTGCTTTAAGGTCTAAACATCCTGAAACCCATTCTGTATCAGCTTTAACTTTAAAAGTCTCCGATGTCCATTCATGATACCATTCAACCTTTTCTTTAATTTCATTATCTTTTTCATCAACATAAACCAAATTTGCCTTCTTATTTAACTCACTATCCACATATTCCTTATCCGCCCTCTTCATTATGTCATTTAGGAAACCTTCTATGAATTCCTCATTTAAATTAAATCTTCCAATCTTCAAAACTTTAGGAAATGCATTTAATGCGTAATATCTCTGTTCTTCTGGTGGAATTGATGTTATATCATCCGTTATTCCTTTAATTTTTGAATTCATAAATAAAATTTCTTTTATATTTGATATCACTGCACCACCTTTGCAAACGAATTCGAAATGTTCATTTTTCAATACTATCTCCAAATCTCCATATTTCAACCTTTGCGTTTGTTCTGCCGTCTTTGAATTATATGCATATATGGCGTATGTAATGGTCTGAGGGACCTGGGTGTTTTGTGCCTTAAGTTGTTGTGGTTGCTGTTGTTTAATCATTTATTACGATTTAAAAATAAATATTTAATCCGTTATCTCATCAGCTATTTTCTCTATTTGAAATTGCCATAATATTTCATTCATAAATTCTAAATCACAATCAAATAGGTCAGTTATTCTAAATTTAATATTTGATAAATCTTTTGAATGAAGAATAAATGAATTCCCGGATAATTGAAACGGATATGATAAAGAAAATGTGTTTAAGTTGATGGATAAAATGTTTTGTATTGATGGGTAAGAGTTAGGGTCTAATGTTTGATGTGAAAATCTCATTGGGGTATTAACTTTATCACATTTGATTAAAATGAAATTGGAACCAGTGTCAGAATACAAAACATCCCCAACATCTTTTTCAAAATTTAATATCCCCAACAATGAACGAAGATGAGGAGTACAAAATTTAATTTTCAGCGGGAATTTAATAAGGTTATTTATTTCATCAAGTTCAAAAAGTTTATCGGGTTTTGATTTAAAATTTTCTTCATACCATACGATAAATGATTCATTTAAATAACTTAAAATCATGTTAATATCCCATTTCGCTATCACATTATTTATATACATATCATACGTTTTTTCAAGGTCATCTTTAATAAATGATATATAATATGAAGGGTCTAAAAGAATGGGATTAAATTTACCACTCACAGAAACGAGAGTAACATTATAAATTCCGCTAACTGTTAAATTTAATTCACAGCTATTATTCGAAATAATATTGATAATTGACATTTTTATTACGATTAAAAATATGGTAAAGCGTTATTTTCCAGTGATAAATAAAACTAGAATAAGATTACCTCAAGAATTCATAAATTCAACGAATAAGAAATTCATTCATGTTATAAATTTTAGTGTTTTCAGAAAATATGAGTCAATGTCATATTCATCAACAGGTTATATTTCACTTCATTCAAATTTAGTTCAATCAAACCCATATAATGACCATTTCATAAGATTTTCAGATGGTATTAAAAATGTAATTGATAGATTAAAATATGAACAGATTGACAATATCGAATTTTTGGAATTTTGGTTTAAATATCCCGATGGAAAAAAGATTGAAGTTAAAGATAAAGCTGATACTATAACAAAAACAATTACAATGACCGATCCGGATAGTGGGGAACAAAAAGAAATAAAACAAACGATAGAAACTGGTGAAAGGTCAATTATTATCGATTATGATTCAAAGGATTATTATTCAATAATGTTAATGCTTGAATATTAAATAGCCTTAACAAAGAATTTTTCAAGTGATATTTTATATTCATCAACTATTTTATTATAAATATCATTATATGTTAAATGAAGTTCAGTTGTTGTTCCATTCTTTGATATCTTAATTGTGCTAATATCCTTTATAGGATTTATTTTTGCAACTGTTCCGCAGCATGAAACCTCATCATCTATGAAAAATTGAATCTTAACGTCTGAATCTTGAACATCACAAAGAATGGCTATAATGTGAATTAATGATTCATAAGGTAAAATAATTAAACCGGATTGATCAATTAAATTTATTATTGAATCATAATTATTAATTATTATATCACGGTAAATTTTCATTAATTCAGAATTAATGTCTATTTTATATGGGTTCTCGATGTTTGATGAAAGAGGTGGGGGGTATGATGGATAAGTGGGAATTTCAACAGGTTCTTTACCGGGTTCAGATAAAATGATTGGGTCTCCATTCTCCTCATTCTTCGGTAAGTCACGAGTTAATAAATTTGGTTGAGTTGCTGACCTTGTTAATTCGGGGCTAACATTAACTTTAACATTTTGAATAATTCGTGATTTATCATCATTTACGTTATAACCAACCGTAATCTCTGCTTTTGCGTTAGTGTTCTTTTGACTAGTGAAACGTCTTCTCATTTATAATCGAATAAAAAAAATATATTTAAACTTTTATTTTGCTGGAACTTTTGAATCTATTATTCCCTGTATTTGTTCATGAAGTTGATTTTTAGCATTTTCATCGAAATTAATAGACCGAATATATTCATTAATTGCATTCTTATAATCATCTGATTTCTCAAATTTTCTTTTATCTGATTCCTTAACTAAATCATAAGTTAAACCTCGTTGCTGATATAATGGTTTCTTAATTAAATCTTTGAATGTTTGAGATAAAGCACCTGATGCAATTCTTGCTACTATAATTGGTTGGAATTGCTGTTTAAGTTCATCTTTAACATTTGCGAAAACTGGATCGAATAAAGCAACTTTAAAGAATTTCTTAGCTGAAATTTCAGGTCTAATATTTGCATATTGACCATCAAACTGGTTAGAATATCGTGGTAATCCATCCGGTCCCTCTTCAATAGCATTTAATTCTTCATTGAAATAAGAATATGGATTACGACGGTATGAATTAATTGGACCATTTTCACCTTCTCCAATGTATTGTTTAACAGCTTTTCCATTTTCATCAAATTGCATAGGATAACGTTCATTATATACTTTACGTTTAGGATAATCAGATATAGTTAATTTATAACCATTTATGACTTTAATATTACCTTGACCATCAGTAACGAAAACTTCATTTATACCATCAGGTTTTCCATTTGGACCCGTAATGTCTGCTTCGTGTGCTTCCCAATTTGGACCTTGACGTTTGGCATATGCTTGAGCTTCTGGTAATGTTAAAACGTTTCTCATTTGTTTAACATCTTTTTGAAGACCAGCAACAATATGAACTAATTCTTTCATTCCATCAGGAACTTTCATAGTTCTATTATATGCACCCTTTTTGTTTGTCCCTTGTTTTAATGGAACCTGTAGAAGATTTACCATTTCTGTCATGTTTAATTATAAATAAAAAATAAAAATTAATTATAAAAAGTTAATCAAATTTAACACTTCCTTTATTTAAATCAACTATTATTTTTCCATGTTCACCTAATTGCTGATATTGTGTGTAAAGTTCATTAATGCTCATTGGTAAATTCACTTGATAAAGCATAACGTTCAACTGTTGACGACTAAACCCACTGAAAATGAAAAGTGTTGATAGATTTGATTTAATGTTTGTGCTTAATGCTTTGAAATATTGAACAGCCATAAAGAATGAACACTGAATGTGTCGACATTGAGTTAATAACTGATTAAAATATGATTTCTCATTTGTTATTAGTTTTGATTTCACCGCATCATCTAGAAAAATGAGTGAATGCAAAAATTCTCTATCAAAATTTGAAATAGAAAGTGTTTCAAATAATTCATCCCGTTGTTTATCAATAATTTTATCCTCTAATCCTTGCTTCTTGATTGTATTATATAATTCTTTATACATTAAAAAGTTTTTTAAATAATCTTCTGCTTCTTCTTGTGATAAATAAATAATTGGAATTTTGATTAAATGCTTTAAAGATTCAAATGTATCATCTGAAGGTGAACCTGAACGGTTGATATAAATTAACACATGTGAATAGGGGGAAGTGTTAGCAATAATGATAATTTGTTTTAATACCGTTAATGTTTTACCTTTATTTTGTTTACCAATTGCTGCAGTGATTGAATTTAAGTAACATTCAGAATATGGAATTTTCATTAATTTTTCCTTAGATAGAGCATTTCTATTATCACTCAATGCTTCATTAATCATATCATCTACGTATGTATTATATACTCCCGCTAATTCTTCATAAGGGGTGGATGAATTTAAATCCATTTAATCAAAAATAAATTTATAATTTTAAACATTTCTATTCATCAATATTTCATCATATGAACTTCTATACTGTGGTGGTGTACCTGTTGGATGATATTTCAAACCTTCATCCGGTGTCCATGTCCAATACGTAGTCCTAGTAAACCAAACCTGAGGAGGATTTGTCACCTTTGAACAGTAAGTGTCATTTTCACCCTGAATGATTGGATAAGCTTTCACTTGTACTGTAACTTGTGAATTGAAAGTTTCTAATCCATCAAAGAATATACCCGCTCCATCACGTTGAACTGGAATAGTGCATAAGAATGAAGTTTGGTCTTTCCATGTTCTAGCTAATGGTGTGCCATTATCATCATTCAGTGGTCTAGTTAATGAGTCCTCATATTCTTCTGTGCATTCATTCACTCCATCTAAATCAGAAGCTTGAAGCATACGTGTAAAGAATATGTCACCCACTGTGGTCATCGCTTGATCGGGGAAGTTTCTGGAATCTATAGTGACCTGAAGACCTCGAAGCATTGGATTTTCTAAAACCGTTCTTTGCATTGCATTCTTCGGAAATGTTAACACAACATCTGTAACATTATGAAGAGCGTATGAGAAATCTGAGCTAATACCTTCAGGAGTGATGCAACCTCCATTTAGTGAACGAACGTCAATATGTTGAGCTGGAATCATGAATGGATCTTCCTTACTGAATAAACGTGGTATTGCTTTAACTGATTCTTCAATTAAACCGTATCCTGGTGTAATGCATTTATCCTCTAAAACTTCCATCTTTGTGCATGAAATAATAACGTCTTCAACTGTTGCGTCAGCAGATGTAGCGGCTAAGCTTGTAATTAATTTGGCAGGAAGTCCGATTTGTTGGAATTTGCGATCATATTTATAAACATGATTCATAATCTTTTCATAATTTTCATCAGTTATCTTTTCATAAACGTAATTTTGTAAATCAGCAACTCTTAACGGGTCAACCTGACAAAATACTAAAGTATCCCTGAAAACATAATATTTAAGAATGATTTCACCAAATGATTTAGGATAATCATCGAACGCCTGAAATGCTAACAAATCATTTACCGGAATAATCATATCAAAAGTGACATCAACTTCTTCATTTGCTCTCTTGAAAACTTCTGAAGGGTCAATATATTTACCACATACTGAGTTATCATATTTTTGAACATTATTATATAACGAATGAACAAACTTTTTAACTTTCCTTTCTGATTTTGGTTTATATGTTGCAAATGCGAAAGATTCACGGGCACAATCCATCTGAAGATAACCGGCATCACCTCTTTCGGTTTCT